CCGCGGCCGACAACCCCCTAGCCGGGCCGCTCGAGCGGCCGCGAGGGCCGGACGAGGACGAGGAGGAAGCGGCTGCAGCGCCCCGGAGTCGTTGAACCTCTCCGCGTTGGGGGCGGTCGGGAATCTGCGTCCCCCCGAGCCCACAGGCAGGACTTTGCAGCAAGGACCGGCTCCGGAGCCCTCCGGAGTGACCCCTACGCGAGCGAACGCCCCCACACACACACCGCAGCGATCGCCGGCTCGCCCCGGGAGCGGGGGGAACGCACACAACCGGATCTTCAGCCAAGGGACCACGATTCGCCGGGGACTCGCTCGCTCGGGGTTTGATCTTTCCCAGCACCGTGCTGCGCCAGGGCCCTGAGCCACAGAAGGGGAGCTGGGGGTGGGGGAGGTGGGGAGAGCCTAGCACCCAGCCCTTCTGCGCCGCTAGCTCTGGTGTATCCTAAAGCAGGGGGGTGACTCAGGGGGAGGGGAGGGAGTTGTGTAGGGGCTCTTTTTTCATAAGCTGAAGCTCTCGGGAAGAAGAGAGCACCAAAAGTAGTGGAGCTCAGGTACGTCAACCTAGTTGCAGTGGCCAGACATGCGTTTAATTTATAGATCCCTGTATATAGTTGTTGACATATGCACTAGAAGCTATAATCACATAGAACTCTATGTATTTCCCCACACCCTGGGTAGCTACTGAATGGTGGGGTCCAGCAAGGGCTATTTGCTGGCGTCCAAACTGCACTTAGCCAGAGGGCACAAACACAGCTTTTTTATTTTATTTTATTTTATTTTTTTTCCTTTCCATCACCCACTCTTTCGCCTGTTCCCTCCCTGGTTCAGAAAGCTAAGTTCCTGATGTTCTTACACAAGAGTATAATCATTCTTAGATTGCTACCATGACGGTGGAGAAACCTTAGTAGTAGACACAGTTTCGGAAGGGTGGGGAATGTGCTGATCCCCTCCGGTTCCCATCCTAGAGCTCCCACCAAAGTGGCTTCCTGTTGCCTCCCTGCATATCTGGATATATGCCAGGGGCAATGGAGAGAAGTAAGTGCTGTGTTTGGATCAGTCCCTTCCCCTCACAGAATCCCTTTAGGAAGAGCAAGCCTTTTTAAGTACAGTGATTGGCAAGTGTTTTCTCTCATTCCTTTTCCGTCTCCTCAATTATCTTATCTGGCTCCAGATCTTGTCTTATTTAATTTCTTGCCCTTCTAGATCTTGTCTTACTCATTTTTTGCATTTCCTATTTTCTGAGCCTGAAACAACACAGCAGCTTGCCGTTAGGACAAAATCCGTTTCGAAACCAGAGCTTTGATGTGCTCTGGTTTTGAGTTACTGTATAGGACTCAAGCCTAGGAGTGTGCCTAGACAGCCAGTGAAGAGACCAGCCATGGGAGGCTGAATTGGCAGCTTGTCTCTCTCATTCCTGACAAGCTCCCACTTAAATGCAGCAAGTTTTCTAGAGGTGGCGACAGATGTCAAGGGACACACACACACACACACACACACACACACACACACACACAGCTCCAGGGCAGCAAGAATTCCACTTCTTCAATTTGGATTCCATTTCCTCTGCCACTTGCTTTTAGGCAATTGAGTGTGGGCAGTGACAGAGATCAGACCCCTTAGTGTTTCCTTTTTGGGAAATGAGCTACTTAAAAAAGAAACAAACAGGAACCTTGCCCACCTTTGTCCTGAACTGTCCATCCAGTTTTCTGGCCTACCTTGTAGTTAGCTCTGATTCAGGTTTACAGGACAACAGTCTTGATTTAAGCCATGTCCTGTCCTGGGCAAGAAAGTAGCTACTAAGCTGGCTCGGCCTCCCAGCAGGCCGCCCACACCCCAAGGTGTCTGGGCTTGGAGATTTTTTCACAGCTGATGAGGACTTCAGTCATTAGGAGGCCCATGGGGACTTTTTAAATTTTTGATGAGAGACTGGGGGGAAGAAACATAAAATGTCACTTTATAACTTCAACAATAGCCTGTAATTTATATTTATGGTGTGAATTTTTAGTCCTATATTTTAATAATTTGTAAATTGACCTCTTATTCCAAGAATCCTCGGGACTCATGGGAGAATATCTGGGAGTCCATTCCTCCTCCCCTCGTGACCCTGCTTTATGGACTGTTTAAATCCACTTTGGGATGAATCAGGGTCCAGCAAGACCACTCGTGGTCCAGCTGGCCTCCCGACTCTCCAAAGCCTTCACTGGAATTGGGACATTTTTCTCCAGCCCTAGCTGTGAACATGACCAGAGACGTTATTTCTAATTCAGCCATTCAAGATATACCTGTACTTTAAAAGTCCTGTATATTTTTTAAAAGTTTTATTTTTCAGGTGAACAAAAATACATTCTAAGAACTCTGCCTAAGCCTGTGTGAGTTGATCGTTTCTCCTGCTGACTTATGGAGAAGGAGTCTGTGGTCTCAGATGCAGTGGATGGGTGCTGATGAATAGGCTTAGGAGGAGAAAGCAATTGCCTTGCTGTTCTCAGGGCTGCAACTGAACAGATTAGAGAAGAGTGCAGGATCCATCTTAGTCAGGAAGCCAGCCTCGTGGGGTCGGAAGATGATGCCAGCTTTTGCCAAAAAGCTGGGGGGCAGACAAAAGTTCTACTCGGTGGTACTCTTAGCAGATTCCTAGCTAACGGGCTAGAAGGTGTTGAGTGGTAAGTTTTAATCAAAAACGTTTAGCTGTCTGAGCTCTCATCACATTCTCACCTTAACCGGTTGGCCTTTTACTAACTGAGGAAGCCTAACACTGGAAAAGACAAACGCATGCCTGATCTGTACTGCCTGTCTCCCTGGAACCAAGCTGCTAAGAGGTGTAGGCTGCTTCAAAGGTGAGGGTTTTTCCTCCCCTTAAAGCAAAAAAAAAAAAAAGTCATGTGGGTGAAAAGCATAAATATAAGGGATTAGTTATGCTGCAAAAATACATGGTACGAATTGAGCTCAGCTCATTACCAGACAATGGTGCCCAGTACAAATCCAGAGTGAGAAGCCAGTGTTGGTGGAGCCCCCTGTGGCCTGCACTTCTCAAGAGCTGTTAGGGGGTAGCCACTGTGCTTTTACTTCACCTTGTAGTCTGCGGGGAGGCGAGGAGAAAGTCCCGCCCTTCCTTTATTTCCCTCTTGAGCCTACACAATGGCTTTCTGTGAGAGGGCTTGGTAAGGCAGGAGTGAGTTCTGTGGCTTTTGACTCAGCCCCTCCTTCCTGCAGATGGGGACATGTGGCTTCTACAGCTGCACACAGCTTTACCACATTGGCCAAAGACAGCAGTAGGTACATGGAGAGCCTGCTGGCTGATTAGAACAAGGCCCGATGGGATGGGAACAGGCATCAGAAACAGCTTTCTTTGCAAATGTTCAGAAGGAGCCAAACTGCCCATGTTTTTAAGCCTGGAAGGTCTGTGCAAAGGGCATTAGAGATTTTCTCTGCACTGGGACAGTCCCTAGGTGTCTGCTTATATTGAACGTTACCATGTGTATTCATTCCCTGGCAGCCTGAATTCGAAGGCAAAAAAGAATGAAGTCTTGGAAGTATGGGGTCAGGAAGCCCAGTGGATAAGCTTGTATTTTTCTCTTCCCTCCATGGATTCTCAGGCACAAAGAAGTGTTTCTCGGAAGCCTGAAGCAGCATTATTTCCCCCCACTAACAGCTACATGGTTTGGCACCAGGGTTTGGGAAGCTTTTCTGTCTACCTTGTTTTTCAGTTTTCCCTGGGGAATTCTACGCCGGTGTGTTCTGTAGTCGAGTATTTATATCCTGTTTTGAAATGCAGGACGCAGAGCATCTACTTGTTCCTACACGCTGCTCTAAGGAGCGCTGAAAGGTTGGTGGCTTTAGGGCCACTGCAGCTATTTAGAAGGGTAATAATTGTCCTCCCTTCCTGTCTGCAGAAAATGGAGGTATTTCTGGAATTGCAGTTCGGTACCAAAAGGGCCACAGCTGGACTGTTTAATTGGCCTCCCTCTGGGGAGGAAAGGGCCGCAGCGGCTTCGCTCATTTCTCATGACCAGTGCCAACTCAGCGCCTGGCATGGAGCACTGGGTCCTCAGAGTCTGTTGATCACCTGGGTGGTCACCATGATGGATGTAGTGACACGTCACCGTGGTGTGGCCGTCACCGTCCACTCGTGGAACCTGCACCACAGCCCACAGTCTCACCTGAACGATCAATGCACCGACCTGGCTGAACAGTTCCTTCCTTGCATGTGGATG